ATATACACACACACTCACCCTGTATATTCCTCCAAGGTCTAAACCACTTTGTTGTCATGTGTGAGGTAGATCTTCCAGTTTCGTTTTTCTTTAGAAGTGAAACTTAAGAGGTGGAGGAGGGACTTGGGGATTAGAATCAGCAGTTTAGAAAACTCTTTAAAAGGATGCTGCTGGAGCGCTGCCTGGTTAGTCTGTTTAGGCTGCTTCCAGGTTCTGGCTCTTCAGATTAACCCCCAGAGTTTCCTCCGTGCTGTAAGTTACCTTGTGTTTTTCTGTGATTTGGGACTGATTATCCTGGATTTAGGGTTTCTTTTTGCAACATTTGTCTTTTGGTGAGTTTGAAAAATCTTCTTCAGGCTATTGAGAGACTTTAAAAGATTAGAACCTTTCATTCTGATTGACCAAATATTACAACCTTAGTCTTTTAATTTTATGACATTTATGACATTTCCATACTTTATTAATATCTTTTAGTATGACTCATACTAAATAGTAGGCCTACTCTGTCCCACCAAAAGAGCAAACCACCAAAAAGACACCAAAAGAGACAAACAGTTTGCTGGACTTTGAAATTGATCAGTCTTGGTTCCCAGAGACTGTAACCAATAAAACAACTCAGGTCTGCAAATATACTTATGATTTACTAACCTGGTTTAATTATCAGGGAAAAAAGCTGATAAGGCTAACTGAAAAGCCTGAGGGCTAACTGAAATGTTTTCCGATGAGGTGTGGTTTTATAGAGAAGCAGACTGAGTAAATTTGAACTCTGGTTTTCTCCAACAAAGACCTGCACACATGTACAGAATAAACACACATAGCTTCTCTCTAAATACTTGAGTCAACAAAGTATTTAAGTCAGTAAGCCTTAAGTAATCCTCTGAGCAAAAGCTAAAGAAAATTATACAAATATAGGAAGAAAAAAATGCTTAATACTTTATGAATCTTCATATTGCCTGAGCTGTTGGAAACAGGGACTTTAACAGTCCCAAAAATTGTAGTAAGTGTGCATCAGATTGTCCTTCATCTAATAACGCTGTGTACTTGAAGCCTATGATGATGCAATAACCAAGCTCGCACAGTAAGGACGACCAAAAAACAGTTATAAGAACCTTTTTATTAATCTGAAGAGTTATATGTTAACTAATACATAACTAACATGTAGCGTTTCAAGTTAGAGGACCCCAAAGTAATCATTATTACTACAACAGGTCTTCATCCTCCTTACTCCTAAGCTGATGGTGGTGAAATACATTGTATCCACACAGTCATGGACATCATTTTTAACTTTTTTTTATCCAAGGTTCAGCAGGAAACTGTTTTTCTAGACTAGATATGACTTCATGGAGCACCATTTCTCTCCAGCTTCTTGAATTTGGTTCAAAATATGCAGCTCTACATTAAACCAGGGAGCCACCTCTCTATTTTTTAAGTTTATTCTTCTTCAAAGGGCTATGTTGTCTAAGGCAGTACGCAGAGAACTAGCAACATCAATTTCTTAAAGGAGAATAAACTACATGTTTGCCCACTGCAGTATTGTTCAGTGATACAAAGGAGACACAAGTAAAACAGGTTCTTTAAAATTATGAATGCATTATCTGATAATGATCTGCTAAGGTGATACCTTCTTTTTGGGGAGAAGTAGTCTGATTAAGTAATTTTGAAGGTCATTAAAAGAAATATTGTTATATCTTCACATTCAATGCCTTATGTCAGCACAAGGTCCAAAGTATGAGGAGGAGAATGTGTAGGACTAGGCAGATTTTTGAACAAAGTCAAAAGTCAATCAAAGTCTTATGGTGCAACCATTTTTGGCATTTACTTAATCATAGTTTCTTAAACACAAGTGTTTCATGTTAGCAGGGTAGGACATAAAACTATTTTGTTAAATTAACTAAATATGATTAAGTAAATGCCAAAAGCGGTTGCATTATTTTTTTCAGTTCTGGTTGTCAAAAACACTTAAATGCCAAAGCTTGGATGTTGGGTCACGCTAGTCAAAATGCTTCAATGCTTTAGAGATAAGTTGGGGGGCAAAACGTTTTTAACGTGTTTTTAAGCAACAAAGTCTGACTCAGAACGTCAATTGAGCTGTTTGAATTGGTGCGTAGATCCGGTGGTAGTGAGCTCCAGAGTGGCTAAAAGCTCTCCTTCCCATGGTAGATGGTCAGAGGGAACAGTGCGACAAATGGAAGAACAGGATCTGACGGTGAGGTTGATGTGGGGTAGAGAGGTTGTGGAGAGTCTTGAACGTTAGAAGAACTATTCTGCAGTTTATAAGATGGGAAATGGGAAGCCAGTTTAGCAGGTGGAGGACAGGTGTAATGTGATGGTTTGAGGGAATGTGTGTAACTAGCAGCTGAGTTCTGGACGTGTTGTTGTTTATGACAAGTTTTTTGTTTTGGGGGGGTGGGCAGTCTAGGCGGGAAGTAAACAATGACAAAGACAGCATTGGAGTGACTTTAAAGAGAAGGACAGAGATGGTTTATGTTGCAAAGATGGGAAAAGGTGCTGTTGAGGATGGCGTGTGTGTATATGTAAGCACATAGTTAGCTAGCTGCAAAAAAAGGCCATGGTTATCAACTGGTTCCTGTCTGAAACTAGTAGAACCTGACAAAATAAAAAAAACTGTCATCCTTTTCTCCATTCAGTTTATCTCCCTTTGCACCATTAACCAATAGAAATTGTCTTGTATGGACACCTGAAACTAAGCTATCTACATAAAAAAGGGAAACCTTGCAGTTTAAGAACAAAAACACCTTTACAAAGACAAACTTCCAAGAATATCCCACACAAACATTTTGGCCTGAAAAGATAAAATTTACTCTTTATTCTACTTCACAGGGCATTGCATCATGAATAGTGAAAAAAAAAAAACTGAAATCAAAGCCAAACATTTAAAGCTAGATGATTTGAAAAAGGAGAAGGCTGGCGAGACGAACAGATACCTGCACAAAACAGACATCCCAGATTATCCTAAACCAGAATTTCATGTGAATCGTCTGAAACATGAAACTACTGCAGGTGGACTTGAAGGGATCTGGAAGGATGGAGGCTTCAGGGTTCCAGATAAAGTCTTAAGGGATCGAGATGGAGGTTCCAAAATACCCCTGATGTGGTGGAGTCTGGCTGTGGGACCAGAAGAGATAAATGATGCTGAAGATAGGCTCCTGAAGGAGAAGTTCCCAAATCGGAGGGAGGTGAGAGATCCTGAGCAGCAGAGATTCCTGTGGAAGTTTGCCACCTCTCCAGCCTTCAATGAGACCTCCCGGGTAGGCTCGTTCCGCTTCACCTTCTCACTGGAGGAGGTGCTGACAGCCTATAGAAAACAGGTGAGAACCTTCAACAAGTCAAACATTTCTTCTTTCATGGGTACCTCAGCATATTCCCCTTATTTTCCAGCCATTTGTTTCTGGTTTCTTTCCACTCTTTTTCTGCATCAGATCCTCTGCTGTAGGTTTGGACTCAATCCACAGCCTCCATCTTGGTTCCTTTCATTTATCTACAATGGTTGAACGTTTCTGTGTGGCTACAAATTAATAAATTAAAGTTGAAATGAAACTGTCAACCAAACTAACTTAATTTAGCAGATTGTTCCTTATTATTATCAATAATTATACACAAATGTGAAAAATATAAAAGTAAAAGAAAACATATAAAAATATAAAAAAAATAAAAATATAAAAGTAAAAGAAAACATTTACAGTTGTTTTCCCTTGTTTGGCAGGGCACCGCCATGTTGTATTATTGCAAACTGTGACATCATGGTGCAGGTTAATGCTTCAGCTAGCAGTTGAATATATTGATAAAACCAGCTATACCTCACAACCATAAAACACAACAAATTTGGTTTGATGGAAGATAAACCTGAAAGGCCTCTCAAGCGTTTAAATCCCATTATGCTTTTGAGCCAATTTGCTGAGTGACTTGAGACGTAGGAAGGAGAGAAGAGGCAGTTTTGGAGCTGGGGTTTTGACTATCCCTGCTAAGCGACGATCGGCCCTACCTTGTCAACAAACAGAGGCATGTAGCTAACGGACACTTCAGAAATAAACCCTGCAGGATGGCAGGGGATAGCTGTTACGTGAAAATAACCTGACTGCCTGTTGTGGAAATGAGGAATCACAGTAAGCAAAGCTCAAAGCTAAAAAAAAGAATAACGTGATTTAGACGCTTCAGTGTCCTTTCAGCTTCATCTTCCATCAAACCAAATGTTTTAAGTCTTTTTTATGGTTGTGATGAATCGCCGGTATATCCCATGTATTCAATTACTAGCTGCTATTTATATTTTTCAATTATGTAGTATAATTAATGATAATGGTAAGACACAACCTTGTGAATTAAGTTAGTTTGGTTGACTATTTCATATCCACTTAAAATTCTGTCTCCTTTCTCCAGTTCTGCTCTGGAGCTGAGCCCGTCATGCGGGTGTACAAGACTGTTCTGCACCTACAGGAAGTGATGTACGTGGTTCTGGTCCACAGCCCAGATTTCAATGAGACGTTCAAAGACTGTCCTTTATTGGAGGACAACCCAGAAGCCATCTGTGTTTACAGAGATGGACGTTTCATCTGGAGGGCACAGGCCATGTGTGAAACTCATTGGTAAGCAGAACAACAGTTCTTGAATGCCTGTTAAATAAAAAGTAAGATAGAGTTAAAGTTACTACAAGCCTGAGTTTTCTACTACAGTACTTCAATAAACCAGAAATCATAATCTAAGGGCAGCACAGGGAAGCACACAACCAGGCAGTCATATCTAAAATGTTACCAGTTAACCTATGATCCTGAGGGAGGAAGTCAGAGTACCTGGAGAGAACCCACTCATTCACCAGTAGAACATGCAGACTTCACGCAGTATTTCAACCCAGGACCTTTTTTCTGAACGGCAATGTTGGAAATCACTGAAACCATGTCTTCATTTAATATTACCAACTACAACATACCTGTATTTTCCATAAATCTAATCTATCGAGTCCCGAACTGAAATAAAACAACATAATTCTTTGCAGTCATGACCCATCATTTCCTTAATTTCCATATTTGGTTTGTAAGCTTCACATCTTTGTAACAAATATCCTCTAATATATTAAAGAGGTTTCTAGAATTTCCTTCATTCATCTCTGAAATATTGCAAAAATTAGAAATATCCTGTCCAGGGGTGATGCTGAGAAACTAGTCCATGCATTTGTTACTTCAAGGCTGGACTATTGTAATTCTTTACTATCAGGAAGTCCACAAACTGTAGTTAAAAGCCTTCAGCTGATCCAAAATGCTGCAGCCAGAGTTCTAATGAAAATTAAAAAGAGAGATCATATCTCGCCTATCCTGGCTTCTCTTCATTGGCTTCCTGTTAAATCAAGAATAGAATTTAAAATCCTCCTTCTCACATATAAAGCCTTAAATGGCCAAGCTCCATCTGATATCAGAGATCTGATTGTTCCTTATGTTCCTAACAGAGCACTTCGCTCTCAATCTGCAGGTTTACTAGTGGTTCCTAGAATTTCTAAAGTAGAATGGGAGGCAGATCTTTTAGTTATCAGGCTCCTCTCCTGTGGAACCAACTACCAGTTTTAGTCCGTGAGGCAGACACCCTGTCTACTTTTAAGGCTAGACTTAAAACTTTCCTTTTTGATAACGCTTATAGTTAGAGTGGCTCAGGTTATCCTGAGCTATCTCTACAGTTATGCTGCTATAGACTTAGACTTCTGGAGGACATAGGGACCCCCATTTCATCATTCTGCTTCCTTCTCTCTCTGTTCTCCTATTCTGCAGAATCTGTTAGTTCAATCTCTAACCTTCTGCTCTCTCTGCTTTTCCTCAGAGTAGCTTTGCCTCGTCTGTTCCTGTTTGGCTGTGACGTCATCCTGGAAAGAAACATCAGCTGTGCTGCTTCCATCAACACCCTTGTTTATAGATGCTGGAGATCGGCCTGTTTTCCAGTGTGGTTCTGTTTCTCTGACCGTGACTGAGTGGATGTGCTGTCTTCATCCTCTGGCATAGGAGCTGGCTCAGAGCTCGTCTGCCTGGCTGTGTGTTTTCTGGACTTTTACAGCTGCTTCTTGTATCTCTGCTTCTTTCTCCTTGAACCCCAGTCGCCTCAGCAGATGGCCGCTCACACTGAGCCTGGTTCTGCTGGAGGTTTCTTCCTGTTAAAAGGGAGTTTTTCCTCTCCACTGTCGCTACAAGCATGCTTAGTGTGAGGGATTGTATATGAGTCAATGAGTCGATGCAATCAACTGGTTTTCCTTAGATAGAAAACTTTGTATCAATTTGACTGTATGATCTGGTTGAACTGTAAAGTGCCTTGAGATGACATGTGTTGTGAATTTGACGCTATATAAATAAACTGAATTGAATTGAATTAATAACTCATAACATTCTATCTTATAGAATTAACCTTTTTCCATAATAATGAAATGAATCCTGTAACAGTGATTTCAGACTTTCAGATTGGACCTTAGGCCAAAATAACAAACACGATCAGTCTACCTTCCATCAAACCATCTTACTGTTCAGAGAAAAAGAAACAAAATACAATCACCTTCTTTAGATAGCATTGACAGGAGAAAAGGACTCAGTAGAAATTATGTTAATCATAATACATGGTCTGCAGTACATCTTTAAATCACTCCATAAATATTCTGACATCTTATAGTTTGAATAATATTTGCGCAAAACTGAAATATGTGAGATGAAAACATCGAACAAACCAAAGAACTAAATATTATAGTAGAATCAAAATCTTGATGAACTGGCAGCACAGATGAGGTTTCGAGACTTCCTTGATCAAAAATATCTTAAAACTATTTTTTTTCTCTCTAACAACTGTGTGGCCAAATTAATTAACATTTAACAACCTAAAGAAAGAAATATATACTTAGTTATTGAGAACATGATAAATATGGAAGGAGGATGGTAACAGACAATGCCTTGGTAGCAAATTACAGACTGACTGAATAGGGAACTTTAGTTTAGTTAATGATCCAGTGTTTATTGTTGTTTTTACAGGTATGAACTAAAATCGGAAAAACAGGACCGGATGGAAGCAGGACCTGCTCCTAACCATCATCAGTTTTATGTTTGGGACCATTTTGCTGTTGCCCTGCATCTGGGAAATGAAAAGGTATCCTCACTGACCAGTGAATGTTAAAGACTTTATGTTGGAAACAATGTTGACAGCTGCTGCTCGTTTGTTAAAATATTTGGCTGTTGAAGAGGATTTTGTTGATGAAGCTACTAGCAGACTTACAATATATAGATGAAGTTAATAGTTTTGCTAACTCTGAAAGTTTAGATTGAAACAGTCTAAACCCGGTTGAGATTCCACAGATGCTTCCTCGCCTTCCAGAGAACTTGCTAACAATTAGCAACGCAAGACAGAGCCATTCCATTACTATCTATTTATGACTCAAAACTTAGAGAGCAGGTGGGGGAAATAGAGGAGCTACACAAGCAGAGAGATGGCGGTTGCTCCTAAAAGCTTAAACTTTGGTCATGTCCTCCATTTAGGATTAATGTGGGAGTTGACCTTAGCCTGGGAAAGGATCTGGGTTGGTGGGGTTAGCTACTGTCAAGCAGTAGCTGACAACAGGCAATATAACCTTCACAGATTATTTCGGTTGATTATTTTGGAATGATTGGAATTTTTCTTAGACATAAACATTTTTTCTTTATGTATGAAGAATGTTGCTAACAGTGTTATATTACTTTCTCTTTGGCAGGTTCTTAAGTTTGATGTTGATAAACTTGGAGAGAAACTCAAGTATTGCAAGAAGGATGATGTGACATACAGCTACAATAAAATTCTGCCATTTATAGACCTTGATGAAGCTAGAGAGTTGGTTTTAAAGTTGTGGCCAAACAGACCAGGTCGTCTGGAGGTGGAGCCTTCACTTCAGCTGAGTTACCCAGGTAAACGTGTATGAACTCTGCATCACAGACTCAATGGAACCCAGTATCTGTGGCTTGACAGGTTCTTTTCCTCTCTCAAAATCTGATTATTTTTTAATAATAATTTTTTAATAAACCACCCAAATTTCAAATGAGTTTTATGAGTTTTCTTCAACCAAAAAGAGGCAATAAAGTCCCTATTGTTGTACAGATTAAGCCTGTTCTTCATGAGGTTTGTAGGTTTTAAAACACGTGCTAACATGTTTGTGTATAAAGAGCAGATCTTCATAGAAGGTGCAAAGGGATTTGTGTTTTCAGTTCAGCAGACAGCATGAGCAAACCATTGTTTGGGACTCATTTTTGTACTCCCTAAATGAAAGGGCCGCTATTTCATATTCCAGTTGCTTTGTGTTTGCTTTTTTTTGTTCATTTAAAGGTCTTTATGGGTTACAGTTGCTTCATGTTTTTTTAACCTGTAATTTTTTTGTAAAGCTTATTATAAATACACAACAGGTCTGCGTAAAAAAAAAAAAAACAGTAATAAAGAAAATAAAGAAACAAATAAGAAAAGAGATCAATGGAGAAAAAGCTTTTTTAATTAAATTCAGAAAAAATAAAGCTATGGTCTTTAGAGGTTTGTGGGTGGTTTTAAAAAAAATAGCACTTTTCATTTAGCCCTTAAAAGGATTGTTAAATCATTAATTATTCTTTTCATGTGGCATCCAGAGTTTACCTCTACCCACTCTGCTGCACTCTGCCCAGCGTCCAGTCCCCCTGGATATTCTCCACCGCTAGACCCAGCCACCCACAAAAATCTATAGAATATTCCTTATTTCTCGTATCAACATGGGGGGTTTTTTGTACTCTCTTATGTATTCTTTAGTTCTTTTTTATGCAAACCTTTGTGTATTTACTGTCATGATGGGTACTAGAGAGTTAAGCCCAAAATGCAGAACACACACGGGAAACTGGGTAAAAGTCCAAAAGAGTTTATTGAAGCACAAACATGAATAAGATACGGGAACTGATTCAGGCAGGGGAGCAGGTTCACTGGAGAACTGTACAGGGACGGGAGATGTAGGTTAGCAGAGTTCATGAAAAGCTAAGCATCTAGCTTCATGCTTAGCATGGCTGGCCTTGATCTGAGCTTCCAGCTCTTAGCAGGGAACAACAGGGGAGCATCCACATAGGATTCTTCAGGCCGATTCTACATAGGAACCTCTAGGGAAACTCCACATAGAAGTCATTAGGTTACATCCACGTAGGAATCTTCGGGTTGGCTCACCAGGGCAGATTAGCAGGTTTAGCTCACCAAGAGCTTCAGGCTAGAGACAGGTGTCCTGTGATGCAGCTCTCCCAGAGCTTAAGACCAGAGACAGGGTTCCGAGGGGCAGCTCTTCCAGAGCTTCAGACCAGAGACAGGTTTCCTGTGAGGCACAGACAAAGGAGAGATTAGAATCTGAATCTCACACTAGAGACAACCAAGATTCAATCTATAACAGAGACTCTGGAAGCTAACCAACTAAGATCAACACTGCGGCGTGGAAGCAAGGTCTGGCAGGAGCTTATAAAGGAGAGGTCTTCTGATGAGAGGATTAGCAACAGGTGTGCAGGAAGATTCCAGCCCTAGTACAGAGGGTAATTTCCCGATCCCAGCAGTAACTCCAGCCCTAAGGGAAAATAAACACAGAACAGAAGAGGATCCTTGGCGCCCACTGGTGGGCAAGCCTGAGGATCCCAACATTTACTATAATCTTATAGAAATATAATCTTTAATTAATGAAGAATTGAAAAAAAAAAATAAACCAAAAAAATGTGACAAATGACAGCTGAATAGGAAATAACACCCCCTTAGGTAAGGGGGTGCAAAAGTGCCCTTTCCAAGTGGCACAATGGTATGGTTCTGCTATGCGGTCAATCTCCGCCCCTTTCTGCATGCTGCAGTGATATCCTTCTCTAAAGTTTGCTTCCTGTTTTTTTATGTATTCACCTTTTTCAAAATCTTTGTGCTTCATATTTGTAGTATTTGTATTTGTAGTGTTTTTTTCCTCTTTTAAACTCCAATGTGTTGCTCTTACATCACTTCCTGCTTTTGGTACACTGGCTTGGTACCCATACACACTGCAAGAAAACGGTTCCCAGATCTGCTGTCCAGAAACCGGACACCAGGTTTGGTGTAAAAGTTCTGTTAATTTAAATTCAATAGAGAACCTTTTGCCTTTTGGATGTAGTGGAACAGGAGTTTCTCTTCATGGATGTTCAGGAGGAAAAATCTGATGCATTCATTTCTTTATTTCTATATGAAAAAAAATCTCTGAGAAGCATTTCTGATAAATTGTATAATAGGTGAGATGAAGAATGGATCCAACCTGCTAGTGTAGCAGCAGTATCACAGTAGCTATAAGGACAGTGATGATGAAGATAAAATAGGACACTAATATGTGAAGCTAGTGGTTTAAAACCTACACCGGAGGGGTGTGTCTTCAGAGTGGCGTACTTCCGGTGTTCTGCAACAATTTATCGCAACATCAAACTTATGTGAATGAGGAAGTAACTGATTAACAGTCAACACACTGTTGTGCAAATGGAAAAGACAACAAGTGGGAATTATTGGCAATTAGAAAGACACTCAATAAAGGAGTTCTTGTTTTCAGCACTTTTAACAAAATATTCAGTGAGATTATTTAATTCATTCAGATCTAGGATGTGCCATTTGAGCCTTCCATTCATTGTTTTGAGCTGTGTAGTTTATTAGTGTCATGATAAATTAAATATCCGACCATAGAAAAATATCAGCATAGTTATCATGATATATTATGATATCAAAGAATCAAAATGACCATGGTGGGCTAAAAAATGGAGGGTTTACAATTGATGACATTCAGGCAGTCATTTGCATATGTTCAGAGGGCATTTATTGCTCTGCCTGCCAGCAAATGAAATGGGACATGTCACCCAGCTGCTCTTCTCTTTGGAAGAAAGATACCTCAGTCCAAGTTTTGGACAGATTGTGCTTCGTGTTGTCATGCAAAAAGGGCTTGATTGATGCGGTCTACAGGCTCACTCCATGCCATACTGCAGGCCCAACACACAAACCATCAGGTGATCAGGTCTCCCATGGTGCCACCTCCAGTCACTGTGGAGCTGAGGCGTGTGCACGTACACACTCGATACACATGTAGGGAAATTATAAACCAGACAAACCACTTAACCATATTTGGCTCCTACAATATTGATCAACTGTACTATAAATGCCTATTTCTACAAGTAAGGTGTAGCTAATAAAGTGACTGTATACATCCTTAAATAGGATTTTCTTCCATCTAAAACAAGCCGACGTTGTGTTAAATACTAAAGATGAAAATATTTCACACTGAAACCACAATTTATCTGTGTTGCAGTTACACAATTCAAACTAGTTCTCGCTGGGAGCAATCGAGAAGAAACAATGTCCACTGGAAATGCTTTACTGGGGAGAGAAGAATTCACTTATCCAGGTAACTATGATCAATTTTAACTAATCTCCATAGGAGACCTAGAGATCCCCCACAGAAGAACAACCTTTGGACAAACCGTTCTATCAGTCAGAGGGGGTCTCTTCTGGAACAGCCTCCCAACAATCATCAGGGAATGTCCCACTTATTGCACATTTAAAAAAACTCCTTAAACAGTTTCTTAAAAGTTCCCAGTCATGCACTCACTAATTTTATTGTTGTAATGTCATTGTCTGAACGTGTCTCTATGTGTTTTGACTGATAATGTGTTATGTGATCTTGTGTTGTTTTGTCTTCCTGCCTCAGGACGACAGATGTAAATTAGCAACTATGCTATAATCTGGCACATTTACAATCTGTACAGAAGTATAAGATTGTTCATTAATGTGCTCTGTCCCGATTAAATAAATAAATAATGTATTTAAAAAAATATCCAATATTATTTGTCACAGAAGCTTAAAAAGTATGAATAAAGAACAAGAAGGCAAAGAGCAACTTTCCATCTTCTAAACTGAAACTTTGAAACTTTAAATCATAAACCTCTGCCTGGTAGATCTCAAAGTTTTAACAAGTTTAATTTTTACTGAATCCCCAGCTTCCAGGTGTTTCTGACCAATCAGGGCAGGTTATGTGTGCAGGTATTTGACTGGTGCCCTCTGTTAGGACAGCAGTGACCACCGCTGATCGATTTTACTGCAGTTCTAAATGCAGCTGCTGCATAAAGGTGTAATGTTAGTTGGAAACATGTTTCCAGCTGAACTACTGACCATTTTTACTTTATTTAAAGGGCCTTTACCCCACAGAATAATCGGTTTGTACTTTAACGACGTTATGCTATTCCTTTATGTAAATCACAAAAGATTTACATGACTGATCAGCAGCTCCTCCCTGACCAGTGAAAACAAGAATACTGTAACTCCATAGAGATGCTCCCTCTACTTTAAACAGACTCCCACTACCTCCAATCAGAGCGGTGATGTTAGTGTGGGGTGCAGTGAATCTGATTCAAAGTTGAGGCAAAATGGTTCTAGTTTGTAGAGAAACAGCATCTAATCATTTTTAGCTAATGTCTGAGTTGTAAAAATCTGTTTTTGGCTTTGAGAGGTCTGGACGTCATGAAATTAGCTCACAGACAGAGATAGATAGCTTCACTCAAAAGAAGAGTTTTTATCCAAGGTTGAAAGAAAGAAACTATATTTTATAACAAATATAGACTCAGTGGAGCTGAATCATTATTTCATCATATATTTGCCTATAGGTAACTTTAAAGGGTTTCAGAAAGCCTTATATTGGACCTTTAAAATCAACTAAACTTTGTGTTCAGTTAAAGAAGGTATCAATTCTTCACTGCATTAAATGAAGAGTTTATATGCTTAGTTGTTATAAGAGCTGGATTTCCTAAATCTATATATATTATACATCTAGTGAGTGAAAAAAATTGATTAACAATTTCAGATTCGATTTTTAGTTTTATTCCCTGAATCATTTCCAGCTTTGATCCAAATGACGTATTAGATAGTGTTCACATAGGCACCATTGAGACATAAACATATCCACCAGTTTTCATCTGAAGCTCAGTACAGTTTAATAAAATCATTTATATTTACGGAATGTTCCCAAAATGAATTTATCTGAGTAAAAAATAACCAAAAGCATGTCCAAATGAGAACATGAGCTAAAGGAAGAGAAATAATTTCTATTGTTATGTTTGAACCAGACCTTCTGGTAGGTCATTGCTGGATGTGTTTTCATGACTGAGGCTCAGGAGGACGCTGTTCAGCTTGTTTTTAGACTGATCTGAAAGATCTACAACACATGAGAGTCAGAACTATTTCAGTCTGACCCTCTGCACCGGATACTTCTGGTCTTCCTCATGTGTTTTTTTTTTTTGGTTTACATTCCCCTACCCAGACCTGGTCTTAACTCATAAACTGGGATCCTGTTTAGCAATAATATCAGATTTTCTTTCCTTTCTGTAGGAATACAAGTAGAGCTTGTAGAAGTGAACAACCTGGTGGTGAAAATCATCAATACTCCACCCTTGTCAGGATTAGAAGATGCAGATGGGAACAGGGAGACCGGATATCAGCGAAAGATCAGACTCTCAGGCCCAGAACTTCCTGCCTTCCTCCTGGTCATCAAGTTTCAGAACATCAATGCAGAACAAGTCAAGAGGGATGTACAGGACTTTCAGAGAAAGTTCAAAAACAAGGCCTTAAGACGCACCATGATTGTTTTCACCCACCAGGGCCAAGATGAATCACACATCCACAACCTGCTGCTAGAGCTGCAGGAAATCCTTTCTCAGAAAGTGAACAACAGATATTTGGTCTTTAACAACAACCTCGACACCAGAAATCCAGAAATGGTCTCACATCTGCTGAATGAGGTGAAGAACATGATTGAAGGCGGGGATTAAAATCCTACGTGTTTTTAGAGAACATCAGATTCAGTATAATCACCTTTATTAATTGATGCTTAACTTTATCAATATTTTTAGATTCTTTTACCTCCTTCCAAACTAAACTCTCAGCCTCTTTGACAGCAGCAGTTTTTAATGAGCTGTAGAAGATCAGAAGGAAATATTTTATCAATCTAATGTTTATGTTCTTATTTAAAAAGATCTAAATCTGAACAATAATTTAGGAATCATGAATCCTCTAAGGTCTGAAATAGGATCAGAGTTTTCAGAACAATACAGGAGACCTCACAGCCATTGAAACCCCACATCTATCAGGAAAACAGGCAAACTTTAATCACTGAAATCCCAAGTTTGAGTCCAAATGGAGAACGTTTTAGTGTGAGGCCACAGAGCTAAACTGTCCTCCATCAAGCATTCTGCATTGACTTTATAACACCTATAACCTTTATAATACCTTTATGACACATAGTTACTTCAACCTCCATAGAAAGGATTAACTGGAACTGAAGGATTGAGCAGTAGCAATATTTGGCAGATCTCCTTTATCAGATTAACGCTGCTAGTGAATCTGTATCCTGGTGAATCTGGGGGACGGTGCCACAACGGATCATGTTTCTTGTAGCAGAACCAGATTCAGGCTTCGTTCCTCATGGACCTTCTACAGTTGTAAAGTTAATTAGGATTCAGCTCTTAGAACCCAGCAGAACTTCTGAGCTCTGTTCAGCTCAGATTGTATCCTTGGTTTAATCTTCATGTAGAAACACAGACATCAACAGATAAGGATTTAAAAATGTTTATCGGCCCTTTGGGGGATTTTATTTCTGTATTTTAAAATATTCTTCAGTCCTTAATCCTCTAATGAATTGAATATTAATCATCTTTTAAAGGAGGAAATCATTGATTTTTCTAGAATCTTTCCATTTGCTGAATATATACGGTCTTGGTTTAGGGATTAAACAGGGTGAAGGGTACGGTGGAAATGACCGTTATAGTTCTGGGATGAGAGATGTTATAATTAGATTTTTAATGTTTTAACCACTGATTTATAGGAAATGTATCTGGGACTCTGATTATCTGATGTTCTCCATATTTACTACAGTTTGATCATGAACCCTCTCTGATTATGGAGCTTATTCATATTTTCTGTTACTTCAACTGTAAACTGTTGTAGAAATGGGAAATGTCCAACATGTTGCTGTTGTGATCATTGGATGGTGATTTGTCTAAAATAATAAACATCTTAAGCATGATGTGATGTTTTGAGTTATTTGTTACGAGTATAAATGGTTGCTGATGTATAGTTAGTGGGTTTTGTTGCCAGCTGCTAATGAAACACAGCTTCAGGAAACCCTGTGACTGAAGCAGGCCCCGTCCACATGAGGACAGGATCAGGAGGTTTGTCCTCATGGATCCGTGTTGTTGGAGAAAATAAACGTTTTAGAGTGACTGAACATCTGAACTCTGGGTTCATCCCAAAATTATCCTTTAAATCAGTGGTCTCCAACCCTGGTCCTCAAGATCTACTGTCCTACAGATTTTAGATGCATCCCTGCTTCAACACACCTGAATCAAATGATTGATTACCTTTTCAAGCCATTCATTTGATTCAGCTGTGTTGAAGCAGGGATTCGCTTTTATTATTCTGGTGCCTGCAGATCGGATTATTTAGATTAAAAACACCTACCAGCCACCGCGGTAAACCGCGAGGAGGCGACCCAGCCAGAGGCTGCTGATGAATGGATTCCTTCTGTC